GACCTTTCAATATGTTCGCAAGGGGATTTCCCATTCCATTTTATTCCATGGGGAAAGTGCGAAACATATTGAAAGGTCCTACAAAACACCTACACACCCTACATTTCATAAATTCCTACACCAAAAACACCTCCACACCCTACATTACAATCAATTTCCACCCCCAAAAAGACCTAAACACCCTACATTCCATCAATTCACACCCAAAAAAGAACCTATTCACCCTACATTTCATGTTTAAATTAAGTTTTTACGAAAAAAGCATATTAAAAATAACCTTACACAAAATAACTTCCTTGTTTCGCTTAACATCCGGTTATTAATAGTGTTATTTTTAATCTAGAAACTTCTGTAAGAAAGATAACTCTTGTTTTGGAAAAAAAAACAGACCACAATTTCTTTGAATTAACTCATTTAAAAATAGGATGAGTTTAATTCTAAAACACGAACAACACAAATTCGAAGATTATTCGGGCATCTTTTCGGGTATCTTTTCATCAATAGTTTCTTTAGGTTAAGCGAAACCTTACTTTGTGGATCAAATTGGAGACACTCTTCAAGGTGATGAACAATTTAAAAGTAAATAGTTTAAAGTCTGAAGAAAATGCTCTCTAGGTTCAAAAAATAATTCCAAAAGTAGCTAGCTTTGTTTCAAAAAACAAATGCCTCATTTCCCCGGAAGCTAAAGCTATAGGGTCTGTCGCGCAAAAGGGAAAGAGTATAAGCGACGCAGTGAAAAAGTCTGACGAGTTGAAAGAATTTCAGCTAATAAGAGAACTTCGAAAATAGAAGAAAGGAAACGAAAGCGTTTTAAAGTTATAGGATAAAAATTATAGTCGCTCACACTCCAAAAACTTATTTTGGTTCAGATATACAAAAATCATTAGGTTATCTTCCTGAATTTCCATGGGCAAAATATCCTGGAGAAAAACATCTTCCCGGTCATAAATACACTGGTCCAGGTACTAGGTTAGATCTGCGATTAGACGAAAACGATAAACCCAAACCGGGTGAAGAAACAGTCAATAGAGTTGATTTTACCCACTGTCGTATCGGAATATAATAATAAAACTCATTCTTCCATCGATGTTTCTCCAATGGAAGCTAGTCAAAATCCAGATATCATAAAGTTTTCTTCTTCCCTTAATAATTTTGAAAATGAAATAAGTAATTTAAAGTTGGAGATCGCCTTCGTATTTTCAAATATAAAAGTAAATTCGAAAAAGGTTACGTTGGATACTTGACAAACGAAATATTCATCGTTGATAAAGTAAACACCACATCACCTCCGACATATGAATTAATCGATCAAGACAAAGAACAAATCATAGGTAGGTTTTATCAAAACGAACTTCTAAAAACTGACTTTTAAAAATGAATATCTTTCTCGATAAATATGGAACTGATACAACCATAAATTTTCAACTTATGAGATGGGCGAATGAGTTAAATATATCACCGTTTTATTATTGTATGAGAGATGAAATAAATAATCTCAAATATAAGAAAGGTAAATTTTACGCTATAACAAATATACATACTTCCGATCAAAAAGGAGTTCATCATTCTGCTATGTACAAAGACTCTTCAAATAACTTATATTTCTTTGATACTTTTGGATTAGAACCCACTGGAGAGATAATGCAATTGACTAATCAACCAATCAAATTTTCAACATTTCAAATTCAAATACCGGGACAAAAGTTTTGTGGACAGCTTTCACTTTGGGTTTTATATCAGTTGAGTTTAGGAAAACAGTTTGGAGAAATTATAATAAATTTAACTTAATAAAAATAGCTAACAAGTTTGAATTGGGTTCTTTATCTTCAGAAACCAAAAAACCTAAATAAAGCGAAACCTTACTTTGTGGATCAAATCGGAGACACTCTTCAAGGTGATTTAGATATGAACAATTTCAAAGTAACTAATTTAAAGTCTCCTGAAAATGATAATGACGCTGTTCACAAGAAATATTTACGGGGTAAAATAAATTCAATTGAAGTAAACAAAAACCATTTAGAAGATAAAATAAGTAATGTGAAACGATTCTTCAAACGTCAATTAAATAATAAATTTTTTATTAATGATACTAAACTACAGCAAGATTTAATAAGTTTTATTCAAAAACAATTGGTCAACGTAGTGAACAAAACTCAGTTACAAAATTTAATTTCATTAATATCTAAATTAGATGATAAGATTGCAAACCAAAAATTAGACATTCAATAATTAATATTTAACATTCCAGATGAAAATGATAATACGTTTCAACAGGAATTAAATGCTCTGGAAACTAAACTTTACAGTGAATTACAAAAAGAACTAACAAATATTAAACAACAAATACAAAACATATATGATAGCGAAATCAAAACCTATATACAACAAAAATACCGAACATTGATGATAGCGAAATCAAAACCTATATTCAACAACAAATACAAAATATTGATCATTCAACCGATAACCACTATTAATAACAAGTTTTGAAACAGGAAAAAAATATAGCCGCTTTAGAAAAGCAACTCAAGCAAGAATATAAATCATATTATTTCAATATTCCATTTGGAAATTTGAGTTATAAAGATCAATCTATTACTGATAATATGGATAAATCAAAAGAGTATGAATGTAAAAAAAAAGTGGATTCACAGCAAATATAAGAGTATATGAACTAGTTGATTATCCCCAAGGCATGTTTGATAGTGATCATCCAACATATTGGCTGAATAAAAATCGAAGAGTTTCAGGGAAATCAAAATGGCGGCCAAAGTTTCACGTCTGTTCCGGATTTTTTTTTCTTCGTTTTTTTGTCATAACTTTGTCTATCTATCAGCATAAATTTTTTTGTCCTATACAAATTACACCGGAAGATATTCAACCGGAAGTGAACATCGATTTCCTGTTTAAACCGGAAGTGAAATTGAAATTTTTACTATACCATTTTGTTTACTTTCTTAAACTGTCTTTGCTCAATTTTTTTCAGATTAATCAGACAAAAAGCAAAAGAAATGAAAAAAATGCAAAATTTGGCAAAAAGAATGTCTGCGACAAATTTTCGAATTTTGAAATTTCGAAACTGCTATTCTTTCAGTAGATTCCAAAAATGCAAACCCAAAGAAAATCGACCGAAAAATACGACTTCAAGAGCCGATTAACTATTCTTGCACATATTGAACTGTGGCACTTCCGGTTTTGCAAAAAAGATCCAAACTATATTTATGCACATCGTCGCCTATATCTGAATATTGAATGTTGAATGGTTGCTGCAACTATTGTAGTCTAAGCTCAGGAAGGTGTGTAAAAATCGAAAAAAAAAAAAAAGAATTGACATTTCGATAACAAACTGGGACTTTGCTGAAAGCAAAGTCCCACAATAAGTAGTATAGCTTTCCTAATAGGAAACTTATATATGAAATATATACATGGTATACAATAAACGCAAATATGGTAAGACAAGCTGGAAAAGTTACACACGAACAATACAATACATTTAAAATAGCATTCAGCTAATGCATATTTAATACATTACAGATTAATTACGATTGTTTCTCGGAGTTTGTAAGCCTCGTAGAGATACCTACCAAGTGAAAGAACTTGGAAGTGGGATTTCGGATTCATTAGAATTTTCAATTTGAGAAGGGAAGGAAATGACCAAAATTGTTTATGAAAAAACTTCTGGCGAAGATGGCTATAGATAGGGCAACAAAGCAAAAAGTGAAATTCATCTTCTATATAATGTTTTGACTTGCAACATTCACAGATTCTTTTGTCACGAGGTATCTTAGTATATCTACCAGTCTCGAAACGCAGCTGTAGATTACCGCAACGAAATTTACAAATGATACTACGGAATTTCGTTGCAATATTTGCATCAAGGTATGTTTCATATTGAAAATTAATTTTAAAATTTCTAAAAAATCTCAATTTGCTAGATTCAACGAGGGACGACCACCATTCCTGAACATATTGGTCGTAAATACGTGATTTTAAATACTTAAAATAAACAGAACCTGGATTAGTAAATACATAAGAAAAACCGATCTGATCTAACAGAATTTTCACGTTGTTTAACCAATTATGTTTGCCACTAAGGGCATCGCTACATAGAGCTTCATATACAGCACGAAGTAGGGGGTTATTAGACAGGGCTATCCGTTGCCAATATTTCAGAATACGACATTTTCTAATAACCGATAAAGGGTATAATCCAATTTCAGAGATGGCGGCTATTAAAGGCGTCGCTTTACCCAGAGACAGAGTGTATCTTACAAAGTCATTCTGGATAATTTCAATATTTCGACCTTTAATAAACCCCCTACCTCACATCCGTACAAAAGGACTGAAGCCACACATGAGTTGTATAGTGTACATTTGCTTCGGATGTCAAGACAAAGTGAGCCAGCACGGCTAATCACAGCTCCAAGAGCCTTTCTACCCTGAGAAGCCAACCTTTTTTCAGCTTTAAGAAAGGTACCATTTTGATAGAATAAAATCCCTAGATATACAAATTCAGATACAGTCTTAAGAGGTTTCTTATTAATAGTGAATGTAGGACTATCAAGTTGTTTACCACGACTAAAAATAACAACTTTAGTTTTTTATACATTAATAACAAGATGCCATTTTTCACAATACATATTGAACCTGTCTAATAGAATCTGAAGTGCGTCAGCGGTGGTAGCAAAAAGAGCAGTATCATCCGCGAATAATAACAAAAAGATAAAAATATTACCAAGATTGACAAATCCCCGATTAGCCGTACTAGAGGTAAGGAAGTCGTGTAGATGTAGATGTAGAGTAATGGTGAGAGAGGCTCTCCCTGCTTTACACCAGAGAAAGTTGCAAATTTCTCAGATAGCATACCTCTGAATCTCACGATATTATTAGCTGTTTTGTACATCGATTGAATCATTTTAACCATTTTATTACTTACACCGAACACAAACAGTTTTGTAAAGAGAAGATCCCTATCAATCAAATCGAATGCTTTTTTTAAATCAATAAATGCACAGAAGAACTTTTTGGCTTTCATCAAATTTATAATTGGATTCAGACCATTTCATAAGTCTAAAGTTTAGAATAGTAGAAAACAATTTTGCGATTATGTTCATAACTGATATCCCTCTGTAGTTATCAGTGTCATTTAAATTGCCCTTCTTTGGAACAGGGACGATAATAATATCGGACCATTCTGTGGGATAGCATCCAGTGTCAAAAATAATATTAAAAAAGGAACACAGAACGGGTGCTAATATAACACATCCCTCTATGAAGATTTCACCCCACAGTTGGTCAGGTCCACAACTTTTGTCACATTTTAGCTTGTGGATAGCTTTAGTTACCTCTTCAATCGTTATGGTCGAATCGAGGTCCGGAATGTTAATAGTGCTACCATTATGATCAGATACATCATTGAGAGTATTAGAGGAACTATTCAATTCGTTACCAAAGACGGCCTTGAAATGTTCAAAGAAATCACAGAGATCGGTTTTGGGGACTTGATGATAACTCGATTTTATCTCGTTCCAAAATTGTTTAGGATCACACTTGTGGAGAGAACTAATCTTCCTAGCTTTCAGTTTTGACAGCTTAAATTTTGCGTGGCGTTTAACTTTACTGTAATAACTACGAGCTGAGCAAAAACATTTACGATTCGTAGAACATCGTTTACGAAGAAATTTGTTTCTTACATGATTAAAACCTTGACGGGCTAGCCTGCACTTCGAGTCAAACCATTCATTGCTATATGATTTTTTTTTTTTTGAACTACGAGTGGAAGATTTAACAGTCTTGACACCAAGACACCTAGCTCCTACATCCTGCAATACACACGATATATTTTTTGCTATATTATCGACACTCACGGGCGACGAGTTAATTAACTTAGTTAAAGAATCCAGTTCACTCAATTGAATCCAGTTAAACAATTGCTTTAATTCGGAAGATTTACATGGATTCCACCTGTTCAATCGTTGGTGATCTTTTGAATTTTCTACTAAGGGAGTCACACACTTATGGTTATGTTCAAGTTTCACTCGAAAACATAATGATGCATGGTCAGAAAACTCATTGAATGTATTTACACCAAACTTGGTTATATTGCTTAGAGCTCTTATATCAGCGAGAACATAGTCAATTAAACTGGAACCACGATTAGAACAGATTAGAATATAGCTAATAGAGTGAAACGTCAAGTCAGACACGATATTTCGGTGAAAAATTATCCGATCATCGCGAAAATCGATAGGGATCATCTTCATAATGACATTGACATACAAAATAAAAATCAAAAGAATCTGTAAACAATTGTAGCCTGTAGAGTGAGCACGAGTTGCACAATACAGCTAATAGAGTAAAACGTCAGGTCAGACACGACATTTCGGTGAAAAATTATCCGATCATCATGAAAATCGATAGATCATCATGAAAATCAATAGGGATCATCTT